CACCAGAGTTACCAATTACAACACATTCCGTCTTACTTTCATTAATATGTAAGAAGTTATGTGATAACCATGCCTTAATGTCCCTCAGGCAATCCCTCAAGGTCTGAAATGAGTTGCTCTTATTGACATTCAATGGCAAATAAATTTGAATATCATCCGCATAACAATGAAAAGACAACCCATATTTCATAAAAATCGATCCAAGGGGAAGTAAATACAAAGAAAAGAGAACTGGCCCCAAGATGGATCCCTGAGGCACACCACAGTTCAAAGGAACAGCAGAAGAAGAGAACTCATCAATATGTACAGCAAAACTCCTATCAGACAAATATGATTCAAACCATTTAAGAACATTACCATAAAGTCCTACAGAATGTTGCAGACGGGACAACAAAATACGATGGTCTACTGTGTCAAAAGCAGCTGAAAGATCTAGGAGAATCAGAATAGCAGTATTACCTTCATCCACAGTAAAAACAAGATCATTAAATACTCGCAACAACGCTGATTCCGTACTGTGGTGTGTCTTAAAACCAGACTGGAACTTTTCAAATATGCCATTATTCTCTAAAAAGGTCTGTAACTGTATAAAAATCGTTTTCTCTAAAATCTTAGACAAAAATGGTAACTTAGAAACTGGTCTATAATTCGATAAAACAGTACTATCAAGATTGGGTTTTTTAAGAATTGGTTGAACCGCTGCATGTTTAAGTGCCATTGGGACAATCCCAGAAGCCAACGTGCCATTAATAAGATTGACAATGTCCAAACCAATACTATGAGAAACCTCTTTAAACAGAACTGCTGGCAAAACGACCACATGGATTCTGATCTGACTGTTCTGATGGCACTGCACAGTCGGTCGGAGAGGAATTGGTTCTAGGAGCACATATGTAGGTGGCTCAGATCTGGTCTGAGGACACCTGGTCTGGTCTGTTCACACTGCTGTGGACACACCAGGTCTGGGAAACCTCAGCCGGGACGTGGATGCAGCTTTAGTGTTACTTTGCCAACACATGGAATATTATTAATCACAACCTGTACCACATTACAGAAGTTAAACTACTCCGTCTCAGCTCTCCATCCTGTTTCTGCTAGGTAACCTCAAAGGAGAAGAGGGAGCAGCTGAGCGCACCGTGGAGGACACGTTCATCAGGAGATTCATGTTCGGGACCTTCCACGGCTGCCTGGCCAACGAGATCGTGATCAAACGGCGCGGCAACGTGCTTGTAGTGTGCGCTTTACTGTTACAGAAACATTCCCCTCAGAAGTTTTACTTCTTAATAGGCTACTCAGAGTCTCTGCTGTCCTACTTCTACAAATGTCCCGTCAAGTTAGAGATTCAGACCCTGCAGGATAAAGTTGTGTACAAGTACATCTGATGGCACTGCGTAGCACTAAGACCACATTTCTCCATGACAGAATTGACCACTTTTTGGATTTTTCTCTTGTATAAACACAGATGTTGTTCCTGTTTCCTTCCTGCTCAGAGTGATGTCAGTGAAATCCAGGTTTGGAAATCAGGGGAAAAGTTATTTAAACAAAACAACTAAATAGTCCAAGTCAGCTTGTTGCCAAAGCAGAAGTGTTTCATACAGAAACCAGATGAACTAGACCTGTGCCAGGAAATCAGCCTTATTATAATTAGTTCAATAAAAGACATTTAATCTGCCCCAAATTACCATGGAAACCATTATTTTTATACACACGGTATGATACTTCTGGTCAGATGTACACACAGGCTTCATCTTGAGTAGTCAGTGTAGTACACCGACAGCACGGGTCAGTTTGCACATATTTGGACTTTAGTGCATGATAAAAGTCATGTATAGTATTTACTTTAGATTAACTCATCAAGGCAACTCAACATTTTACACCAGTATATTTACTTTAGATTAACTCAAGGCAACTCAACATTTTACACCAGTGGAAGTTCTCAGCTCCTAAAGCAGAAGTAGTAATACCACACACTAAAATACTCTGTTACAAGTCCTGCATTCGAAATGTTGAGTACAAAAGTATAAGCCTCAAAATATAATTGAAGTACCAGATGTTAAAGTAAAGCCTGTGTCCCAGTAACGTCTCTGATACTGGATCATAGTGACTAATTACTGTGTCCATCACTTTAATGCTGCAGCTGGTAAAGGTGGAGCTGATGGTAACTACCTTATATACTTATACTGTGAAGTACTTTCCATCCTACTGGGATCAGTAAAGTCTGATGGTTCTACTGGGTTTGGTTTGATTCATCTGATTCTGGACCTGAAGTTATCAGGTACATGTAGTGTAGTAAAAAATAAATGGCTTGACTGTTCTTAGGAAATATCCAGAGGACAAGTGCAGTTAAATGCTTCTTTTGATAGATTTTAATTGATCACAGTGGAAATACATTCACATTTAAAGGCACATGCGCCTTGTCAGTGCAAATAACAAGGCACTTGGGATTAAGGCATTCATCTCAGATGTTACCCGACAGCATTTCCCTTCAAGGTTCCTCACAATTAGAAAACATCTCAAAAGTATCACAGCACTTTTCCTTCTTAAAAAGGCTCTGTACTAATGTGACTATTAATATTCAGTGTAAAATACTGTACTAAGCAAACACCTGAATTAAAAATTTTAAAAGCTGTTCTTTCAATCTGAGGCACAAAGTAGGCACATGCCAAACTGTGTCCATTTGGAAAAACTGTTGCTTTAACTTCACTCAAAGTGCAGTAGAGACAAAGCTAGGAGTTCAACAAGGTTTGGAAAACCAGAGCTGTGCTCTGCACACGTCCAGTAACCCAGTGGAATGGTCCAGCATTTTGGAAAATCTTGTTATAAGACATCTGTAAAGGGACGTCCAGCAGCTCTGAAGCTCAAAAACTCATTCATCATCCCCCGTTTAATCGGATCAAACCCTGATGTGTCAAAATGACAAGTTGTGACTTTGGTGTTAATGCCAGACTGTTTCTCACCAGGTAAACCAGCCAACTCCCACACAAACTGCAATTTGTCATGTTCACACTTAACTTCTTGTAAGAATTAAACCGTGTTGAGTGGGGAGCTTCAGAGCTGCTGGCAGGTGGACTGTCAGTCCGGGACAGATGTTTCTGCTGCTGTGCTAAAGTAACTGATGAAATGCAGAGACATGAGTCTTTTAATCCAATACTCTGCAAGAAAACTATGAAGATCCAATCCTAAAATGGTGGAACCATTCCTCTAAAGGGATGATGAGAGGCAGCTACAGTGCACCAGCAAACCTTTGGTTGTGCATCTTCACATCTGACAAATACTGTAGCATGTTTCTGTGAACACTAACCATGTTAAAGAAGGTTTATAGTGCAGATTGGAGAAACCAGCAGGGACCGAGTGGCAGAACAAGTCCTGGCTGCACAGGAAGGAAGAGAAAATCTAAGTACTGTTCAGAAAAACGGGCCATTTTCACAGCAGACAGTTGGACGTCACAGGTGTTACTGGTGACAGCTCAGGGAAAGTCCAACATTCTGGGAGACACACTAAGGATTCAGACAAAACTGACATGTAAGAATGATTTGTCTTGTCCTGGACATTATGTTATTGGTCCCAACAAGAAAGAGGCGGGCATAGTGGTTCTGGTTTAGTGATATCTGAAGGTGCTGACAGGCGGAGACCAGCAGTTTCCACCTGCTTCCTGTCTTTATGCTGCATATTTTCCAGGCAGACACGACAGCGCTATCAATCATCTGCTTCACAGCAAGAAAGCAAATAAGTGTATTTCCCAGAACACACTAGTCCTCTAGTGTCTGTGTTGTGTTCAGGTGTCCCACTGAGACAGCAAACACACTAGGACCCAGAACCTGAAGCAGCTAAACAAAACTTATTACACCTGAGACGTGTCCAAATGTCTTCTGTTGCAAAGGCCTACGCTACTCTCCTACGAAGAACCGACCCCGCCACCCACTGTGAGTGTGATGTAGTCAGTGTTTGGCAGCTTCCTAGAGCGTGCACACTCAGTACTGTGGTGTGCGTCTCCTTTGCTTGATGTCACGGCAGCTGTTGCCCGCACAGGACTGGAGCTTTATGAGGCGCTGGTTCATGATCTGCAGGACGGAGGGATCCACCTGCTTCACGATGTTCTGCAGCTGGTGGGGGTCTGACGTCAGGTTGTACACCTCTACAAACGACTGGGGACACAAAGGGGGACAGATGTTGAGCTTCACAAAGGGACTGTCGCAAACATAGCAGAGTCACGCTGTACCTCGCTGTCGGCAAACTCGCAGTACTGCAGGTTGTGTTCGCTGTCGAGGGTCCTGATGCAGGCGTAGGTGTTGTTGTAGGCGTCTTCGCACACACAGTCAGGGAAGCATTGCTGAAGGAAAGGGGATGCTGAGTTAGTGCTGCACCTACAGAACGCAGTCATCGTTTTTTCAGATTAAAATTCCCCTGTGGGGAGCAACATGAGCAAACTACAATGCATGCACCATCACGTGCACGAGGAGAGGGTAGCAACGCAAATACGAGGCTGAGGACTACATTTCCTGAACCGTGATGCTGACAGTTCAACTGATGATCGGCAGCTTTTCTTGTGTTAGCTACTCACAGAGAGACCAGGTCCTAGTTTAGGACAAATGGGGTCTGTGGTTGGATGTCCCTCTCCAGAGTATTCAACGAGGAAGAACGGACGGGCGGTGCCATTACGCAGTGAGGGGGCCTGACAGGGAGACACGTACAGAAGTTAATGAAGACAAAAGACAAAAGCATTAGGACATAGTGAAAGGAATAACTGACCATCTGGGAAAGAAAGGACTGCCCGTCCACATTCACAGAGGACAGGTTGACACCAGATATGTCCAGTATGGTGGGGGCCAGGTCAATGTTCAGTACCGGTGCCTGCAGGAGCCACGTGTCACAGAGTCATTAACAAACTGAAACCAACAAGTACACACACACAAAAACAAGTGCATGCAGTGGAGGATTTGTAGTGACCTGCAGAGTCTGGTTTGGTTTGATGCCAGGACCACGGACCATGAGCGGGATCCTGATGTCAAACTCGTACAGCTGCCTCTTATCAATGGGCAGAGAGAACTGACCTGGAGCGGTGGAAACAGGACAAGTGAGATAACAGCTGGAGGAAGTGCACGGTATGAAACAGTCTGAGGACCAGACGGGGAGCTCGTTCACACCTGTGTGGTAGCCGTTGTCTGAGGTGTAGAAGATGTAGGTGTTGTTCAGTTCTTTTATACTGTCAAGCTTTTTGACCAGTGCCTCCACCATGTCGTCCACAGATAACAGGGTCCGCCACCTGCAGGAGACAACATCACTCAGCGACTCACACACTCATTTTCACTCTCTCATGCAGTGGACTGTTCAGTGTTCATGGTTAGGCAGAGCCCAGGCTGAGGTGATGAAAGCAGAGCTCGATAAAGAAAAGATCAGATTTTGATGGGCTTCGTGTTTGCCGACATGGATCCAGAGTAAACAAAGACCTCTGTATTGACAGAGTATGTGCATGAGTGTCCTTCTCCATCACATGCACGTGTGAGACTCCACTGCATGGTCACTGGAGGTTAGCAGAAGCAACCAAGTTGCTCTCCCATCTCTTAAAAAGGACTGTTTAGGAGCTGTACCTTCTCCTGTAAGCATCATCCAGGAAGGCGAGCGAGCTGTCGGTCATGGGGTTGACAGGCTGGCGCAGCAGCCAGTGTTTGGCCTGAAACACACACACACAGACATTCATTGGATTGAGAAGACCATTTAAAAAAGCAGATATTAAACTTAACATTTGGTCTTATCTCCCAGACCTTCCCCGGTTTGTTGAAGCTCCCATCTCGTGGGGCTTTAACGTTGCTGAACTCTCCCTGGTACTGAGGTGCTGCTGTCCAGGGGGAGTGAGGAGCTGGAGGAGACAACATCAGGAAGAAGGGATGCTGAGGACTCCTGTCATCCAGGAAGCGTAGAGAAAAAAAATGGAGGCATAAGCCGAGACTGAATATGCTACTGCTGTACAAGGAGTCACAGTCTGAACCAGGATCAGAAATCAAACAGGGTGAGCTGCAAACACAGCGGTGAGTCATTACACCTCAGGATATGAGAGACCACCTCAATCAATTTGGCAGAACCAGGATCAGAAATCAGGAATCAAACAGAGTGAGCTGCAAACACAGCAGTGAGTCATTACGCTTCAGGATATGAGAGACCACCTCAATCAAACACTGCTAACCACATGCTAGTAGTTGTGAGTGATGCTCCAAATGCCACACGGAGCTAAATCTGTGTGTTCGGTGCTCGAATGGCTTTAACTCAGCTGTCTAACGTATGAAACGTCTCAACAGTAAGTCCAGCTCACCAGCTGGGCGGGTCCTCATCTGGGCGGGTTCTAACTTATCTCTGCTCACCTCAATTTAAATTTCAGTTTAGTTTCTGTCGTTTCACTTCTACATTTTATTGCAGTACCGAACATCTTCTAAGTTTTCAGTCACCGTTTAGCTGACATGATGCAAAGCTGAGACACAGAGCTACTTTCAGAGGACGCCGACATCAGCAGAGGCTTGGAGCAGCAGTGGGACAGGTCCTCACAACAACACCATCACAGTCCTGCAATTAAACGCTTACTTAAATAAAAGTTCACAAGTATTATCTGCTAAATGAAGTTAAAATATCTAAATAAAAGTACTCACTGTGCAGCAAAATGTCTGCAACTAAAGCTATTTTCATTATCAATTCATCTGCCGATTTTCTTTTTTAAATCATAAAAAATATCAGAAAATTGTGTAAAATGATCCATTGACGTCTCTTGGAGTCTAAGAGGACGTGTTTAGAGTTCTTGTTTTGTCTGACCAACAATCAAAACGGCAGAAATATTTTATTTATAACAGCATTAAATGAAAAAGCAGGAAGTCTTTATATTTGAGAAACAGAACTTTGACATTTCTGCTTAAAAATTACTGAACGATTAATCAGTTATGACATTTTTAAAGATTTTTCTACCAGATAATTGAGTTATTTTATTTCTGCAGCTCTAGAGACATTATAGGACAATTACAATATTAATCCTGGTGCATCCGTGAACTCACATTTTCAGATCTCTGCTGCTTTTCCTGATTTGTTTAGACGCCTCTATACGTCGTATACAGCCGTTAAGATGATGATGCTGAACTGGTGAAAACAATAACTGCAGCTGCTGTTTCATTTTAATAACTTAACAATCAGTTTCACTTACTGCTTAATGAGGAAGTGCTAAAGTGGGACGCACACTCAACACAGCTGTTTACTTCTGTTCACTGCAGACAAACCCCCCCCTCACACACTGAGGATCCTGCATAGGTACAACCCAAGGAGACGTGCTTCCTCGACAGTTCATCAGCAGATGATTTAACAACAGTTCAGGCTGAACTATGATGCTGCATTTAAAGCAGAACAGCAAACAGCTTCAACTCTCACGTCACCTGATGACGACAACATGCGGCAGGAGCATCAAACTTCCCACAACTCAATAAATACATAAAGCAACAATAAGCCTTCACACAAACACTAAGATCTAAACGTAAATACTCAAACCACACGACCTGCATCAGCCGGTTTTCTTGTGTGGAGCAGCTGACTGGCAGACAAAAGACTAGACTACTCAGTACTAGACCGTTTGTTTTTCTGTAGTACTCCTATATAATATCCAGAGGCATGAAACGCTGCCAGCTGACGTTACTACTCACGATGAGGTTTGTCAGGTAGTCCTTTTCATAACTGTCGCTGTGCTTTTCTTCTTTGCCGTTGACCGACAATGTGTAGTTGTAGTACTGGGAGTTCCCCACCTGCAAATCACACAACAAACGATGTGATGACACAGGTACTTGGAAAAGTAGCATTGTGTGTGTGTGTGTTTAATGCTCACCAGTGCGTACCACTGGTCCCAGCCGGGCGGAACATGGGCGACGTCACCTGCCTCCTTCTCACCGTACTGAAGGCAGAAGAGACACAACCAAGATAAACTGTGGAACAAGACTAACCAGACCCCCTCCATAAAAATCCGTATAAAGGTTTAAATCAAGTGCACGTGTCCACACCTGGTTAAGATACTTCCCAGCAAAGAACGTCTGGTACTTCTGTTTGCTGAGATAGATGGGGAAGGCCTCGGCCTCGGGGCCCTTCTGCCACAGAGGACTGGAGCAGTTCCCAGACAGCGAGTTGTTCTTCACCTCGTGGTTGTGGGGGTACCGACCCGTCAAGATGCTGCTCCTGCTGGGGCAGCCCAGTGGTGAGGCTGTGAACTTCACAGGAGAAGGAAGCGAGAGCAGCGACCGGAGGCAGACGAGAATAAGGGAACAAGGCAAAGGAAAAACATGAGGGTGGAGAGGAAGATGTGCAACTCACACTGGAAGGACTGAAGTAGAAGTACAACAACACGACAAGTGAAAGTGCCATGTTCAGAGTGTTAAAAGTGAAATCTGACATCATCACATTATCAATCCTGATGCACCAAAGCTTCAGCAGCATTTTACTGTTGGAGCTGCTCCAGGTGGAGCTGGCTTCAACTTCTCTTACATACAGTTTTAGCCCAGTGGTTCCACACCAGGGGCTATGAGATGACTCATGTGACCGGAAAGAAGAAAAACAAAGTTCAATTTAAATTCATTTTTCTCTCATCTCAGCGTTGTTGTGAAATGTTTCCACTTTTCTCTTTAGGCCTCAAACAGCAGTTTAAATGAAACCAGGTGAGAAGCTGAGAAAGGAATTTCCTGGACTGAAACAACTAGACACTGTTCTCACCCTGCAATGGTGAATGTTTGGGAATCACTGGTTTAATCTTTAAAAATACAGAAGGTTAGGAGTTTATGTTATAAAAACAGTAACTATAGCTGTCACTTAAATGCAGCAGACGTATAAAGATCCATGAAACAAAACTGTATTTAACTGCAGTACTTGAGTAAATGCACTCACAGCGTTCACAAACGTTGCTCCTGCGTCTCCTATTAAGGCTTTAGTTTTCTTCATGGGCACCTGCAGCACAGAAACAGACACACGTGAAGCGACGCCTCTCCCAGCAGGCACAGCAGTCACGAGAAAAGACCAAACACACTCTGTGAATTAACTGCTGTATAAACAAACGTTGCTGTGGCTCTGCAGGCAGAGGACAGACAGCATGAACCTATCAGCTGTGGGCCGCTCCTGACGACCATCACACATCCAGTGCTTTCATACCGTGTTTGTGTCTACTTTTAGCTGTTTTACATCTCTTTGTAGTCATTTAGCTGATTTCAGGGTCCTTTTCTCTCTACTTTTGGTACTTATGAATGTATTTTGTTCTCATTTTGCCCAGCCACAGCTGGAGGCTTCATATTTTCATCCACCCACTTGCATCTGAGGAATGACCTGATTATATTTTGGAGTTGATAAACCAGTCTGTGTGTGACTGTGGGCACATCTAAAACTCAGCTCACATATTTGACAGAGGGTCTTACCTCTGCTGTGAGCCTAACATGAGATATACTTCTCTTTTTTTTAATCTGCCTCTTTGCTGTATTTAATTGTATGCATTTTACTTTTCTATTACTTCTACGTGTTTATTAGTCTTGTTGTTTTAATGTAAACCACATCCTTGTGTATGAAATATGCTGCAGAACAGACATGCACAGCCCAACTCAAGCTTCTGTTAACCAGAAAATACAGCAGCAAAGTGCTAAAGCCACCAACACGTGACAAGGAGCCATAAACACACCGTCACCCCTTAGGGGAGTTTAAACCGTCAGACCGTGTGACAGTAAATGACGGTGAGTCGCATGAACTTGTTCCGGGACGGCCACTCACCATCCCCCCCAGCTGAACGTCCTGGTCGTCGGTGAGGATGAGGACGATATTGCTCGGTTTGGCACTGTCCGCGCACCTGACGCAGCAGGTGAGCAGCGCGAGAAGTACGGGGGTCGCCAGATGTGCCCTCTGTCCGCTTCTTGTCGCCCCGGCTGTGCTCCTCGGACCCGCCATTGGACCACCACGGCTCGGACCCCGCTGCTACTGCTGCTAAGAGGACGTGTGCAGTTAAAACGAGCGTGGTCAAGTCGCACGCACGCTGAGAAACACACTGCGAATTTAAGGAAGTGGAGTCAAAGTGTTGGTGACAGAAGGTCATATGATCAGACGGTGGGCGGGGGGGGCTGATTAAACTTCTGTTGTATTACGTTGCCCGTTATATATCATATTCTACTGTTGTTTTAAGATTAAACTTTAAGATGAGACTTGATTGATTTGATTTCATTTAATTAATTTGCTGTCATTTTATTTTCAATCCAACCATAAATATTAAGATTATATTAGTGACAATAACATTGAGAATTGTATGATAATGATATTGGTCAAAATTCAGACTTTAAAAAACAAATACATAATGTAAAACACGAGGAAACCTTTGTTTGATAAGGATCAATTAAAGGTTTATTAAAGAGTTTCTGACGTCACCACACTGTTCCCCGAAGACATTTTTTACTGTGACACTGTTTCTAAAGTACGTCTTCGAGCAGTATATCATAATTAATCACTCTAACTCTAATAGATTTATACAGTAGTCTAATTACGAGACTATTAGAATGTAAACAAAGGTATGAGATACTAGATGAAGGCAGTGAAGTAAAGATTAGATCACAAAACTCAAAATCACTCAAAACAATGTCAAAATTGTGACATCAAGTCAGAATAATAAAGCGACAGCTCGAGACTTTTAAAGGCTACTAAGTCAAAATTTCGAGATAATAAGTCAATATTGTGAGGTAATAAGTCAGAATTATGAAATACTAGGCCCAAACTGGGTTTTATTCATCTTTTTTTAAGACACCGCAGCGGGTGTTGAGTTGTTTCCAGTCGGAGCTATTTAGATAATGCACCCGTGGTGTCACAGCTGCATCTGGTTGAGCTCCTGCACCGAAGATTGCAGCTGTATTTCCCACTAACCTACCTCACAAAGTGGAGCTCACTATGTTTCGTCCTTATGATAAACAGCTAGCTAACAACACGGAAGTCCTGGATGTATTAAAGGAATGAACAGCTAATGGCAGAATTAGACAACATAAAATAATATATTAGTTTGGATTTTTAAAAGGGTTTTATCTGCTGATTCGACGTGTTATTTACCACAGACTGAACCATGGTGCCATTAAAGCGAAGAAGAGTCGTCTCCTCAGCTGCTGTCAACACTGGGACTGACCACAGTGGAGACAAAGGTCCCACCAGGTTCCCTCGGCTCGTTTTATTCCTTCTTGAGAAGCTTCAGGTGTTCCCGCAGCTTAGAGGAGCAGATAAGGAAGGTTAAAACACGTGAACATTGAATGAGTGTATTAGATAAATTGGTTGTAACAAGAGGAAACAAAAAGAAAAGCAACTGTCTCAGTTTTTCAGGTTACAGCACATTAGAAACTTTGGCCAAAGGTTTCCTGCTTTTCCCGAATTCTCAGAGGCCATAATGAATCAAAATGGGAAGATGAGCTTGGTGAGAAACAACCATCCGATCATGTGTGTTAGACACTTTCATCCAGTTTAAAAGATTTTACAAACTGATGTGAAACTGGTACCTGAAACTAACAGTTTCATTATTGATAAACTACACAATAGACCTAGAGGATGTTATAACGTAGGGAGAAATACTCACTGCAGTTTTGTAAATTGGTCTTCAAATTTTTCGTTTTGTCTGATCAACAGTGTGAAACCAAAGACATTACATTTATAGTGTTATAAATCAGCTTTAGCTACACCCAGCAGGAAACAATGGGCATCACACCAAGTGTTGTGTTGAATATGGTCTCTTCACAGTGAAAGTGTCACACACGTGATTTCTGAAAACAACTCTGGCCCTGAGGTCAGGACGTGGCTGGACTCACAGGGCGGAGGTCCAGGCCGATCCCCGCTTCACCTTCTGGACATCAGCTGGTACACTGAGAGCATGCGTGCAGGCCGTCCTGTCCACATACTGGACAGACATAAACTACAGGTACGTTTTACTGGACAAGACAGTTTGCTGCCACTGTTGTGAGCTCCAGGCCTGTGTTAATAAAGCTTCTCAGAGCAGAATTCAGGAGTCACATTATCAAAGGACACAGCCTTTAAGTGCAAGTGACATGTTTGCTTGGATTTTTCCTGTTACTGCTTTATCCTCAGATAATAGTCATGAATGTTATATGTGCCTAGTAAACTGCCAACAGAATGTGTAAACTTGATTTTGTATATTAGCTCATACTGTTTATATTTTCAGTTGTTTGCCAGGATTTCTTTTGTTGCCTTCTTCAACAATCTAATCTTGTTTTTCTGTTTTATTACTGTTGCTGTACTCACTGAATGAAGTTTGATTCTGATTCTTAGTGTGCAGATCAGGATGAAATAATAAGGACTGGAAACAAAAAGAAAACCAAACTAAAACAAGTTGCATCAAAGAAATGCTATAATAATTTAGTGTGGTACAGACATCAAATCAGTTCAGTGACACTTTGAGATAATAATTTAGTGTGGTACATCAAATCAGTTCAGTGACACTTTGATTCTTGTTTTTGCACCAAAGATAAATGGAAAAAAGAAAAGGAAAGGCAGCGTTGGCACAATTCTATATAATACTTCAGCTAATTCATTACTTGTTGAAACTGACAGAAGTTTAGCAGTTTGATGCATACAGGTTTTGGTTGTTGGTTGTAGTCGTGCAGCCATTTACTCCCTCTGTGTCTTTCAGGAGCAGCAGAGAGATGAAGAGGAGATGGCGGTGTTCTCAGTGCCCAGCTACGCCTGTCAGAGAAGGACCACTCTGGACAACCAGAACACCACCCTCACTGTATGTGCCCAAGCAAACACAGTGTGTTACACCCACAGTGCAGGAGTGACATTAGCTAGCAAGAATTACATCATGTCCCTCCATGACAAAAGAACTTGTGTTCTCACTGCACTGGTAGTTATGAGGAACACTAACAGAATTTTTAAAACTCGGTTTTTCTCAGTAAACTGTGTGCAGACCACCTCCTGCATGTGGGCACCTGCACTGTGGTTTCTGTACCACCAAATTTGTCTCTGCATGCTGTACACCAGGTGTCAACTTGAACGTCTTGAAGCTCAGAGTGGTAGAGCTACAGCAGTTACTTAGTATCGTCTGTCTCAGGACGCTTTGTCGCTCCTGGCTGAAAACGCTGAGCTCAGTGATGAGGACGGTCGGGGTGTTGCGTTTCGACGGGCTGCCGCCGTGTTGAAGGCTCTCCCCAAACCAGTGACGGACATGGCGCAGCTGAGAGGACTGCCCTGTCTCGGAGAACATTCACTGAGAGTCATCAGAGTGAGTGAAACCTCTCTCTTTAGCTTCCTGTCTGCCACGCTCCAACAAGCTACACCTGCCCCTCTTTTTATTCTTAGTTCTTCTATTCTTGTAGGACATTTTGGAGAATGGCATGTCGAGCGAGGTTGAATCTACCAAGCAGTCTGAGCGGTATAAGGCATTAAAGGTAAGTCAGCTATTTTGCCCTTTGTGGTAGTTTACATTTTATAATCTGTCACAATGGTTTCCAACACCCGTGGGCTCCCAAGAAAAACCTGAAGAGTCACCAGATTGTTCAAGGAATGAGAAGGAAAAAATATTTCTGTTGTGCAGAACATTGTAGGTTTTTATGACTTTTCTGTACAGCGTTCAATAATGGACAGTTTTAATTCTTAACATTTATTCAATTACATATGCAGCTCCGTCGGTGGACTTACTCGTTATAATGTCATAGTTTGAGACTGGTATAATGTCCATTTTTCTTTCCTTGTATTTTCAACATGCATGTCAGTTTTTCCAGGTAGAAGATTTCTTCAGTGATTATTAGCTGTTGGTCTTTTTCAGTGGCGCTGCCGCGCCCCTGTATTTTAACCAAACATCTCTAGCTTCTCATCGTTGGAGTTGTTCCAACATTTTACATACTCCTACTCAAAATACACTTGTTTTCTGGAAGAAAAAAAAAGTGTGTGAGTTAAATCAGGTGATCTGCTCTCTTGCCAACATTTCTGTCATCTACGTAGCATCGCTTTAAGTTTGGGTTTACAGGACAGGCTAGAAATAAAATGGTCTTATGGCACTTTGGCACACATCCAGACACTTTGCACTATTTCCCACTCACCCATTCACACACACTGGTGACGTCACCAGGAGCAACTGGGGGTTCAGTGTCTTGCTCAAGGACACTTTGACATGTGGACTGGGGATCAAACCACCGACCCTACAGTTAGAGGATGACCTGCCCTACCTCTGCCTCTCTTTAATATCCCTCTTGTGAAGCTGCTTCCAGCAGAGGAGAATAAACCTTTTAGTGATTAAGGAGGTAAATAGTACAAACTGCATTTCAGGTTTTAACAGGCATTTTTGGGGTTGGAGCAAAAACAGCCGACCGATGGATCCGAGAGGGGATACACACTCTTCACCAGTTACGGGATTCAGGACACACACTCAATCGGGCACAACAAGCAGGTGTGTTTTTGGCGCTCATGTCTGCATTCATACTATGTTTGGTCTGGTTTCTTTCTGAATGAAAACCTAGTCTCCTTTTAGGTCTGGAGCACTATGATGACCTCAACCGGCCGGTCTCAAAAGCAGACGCCGACATCATCGGTGAGACTGTGGGGAAAGCTGTTGATGCTGTGTTACCAGGTGCACAGGTTACTCTGATTGGAGGATTCAGGAGGTAAAGCAGTGGATATTCACAAACAGACAACACTCTGACATTCTCATGATGCCCCCCCCCAGGGCCTGTAAATAAGGGTTAAATAGTTTCCCCTACTGGAGGCATTCATGCTGTCATTCACTGCGTTTAGATGCACTTAAAGCTCCTCTACCAAATGTCTTTTCAGCCCTGAGGGTCTAGTGGGACTCGGAACAAACTGACATCAACCACTATCTGCCCCTCCCATCATGTCCTGTCTCCAAATAACGGCAAACTACCGATGCCTGGTTGGGACAAACAGCAGCCTCCAGTCTAAAGCTAGCGTTAGCTGGCTAACAGTAAACGTGTCCGTCCGATAGAAGCTCTGGTTACTGCTGATGTTACACAAAGCTCCAATTACTCCCAAATTAAAATCACATTAATTCAACACAAAGGTAAAATCCTGACCATGCTAGGTGGCTAATGGTACCAAAACAAACAGGTTAGCTTTAGATGCTAACACATAACAACAGAAGGGCTGTGGGCAGCAGAGTGTCATGGTAGTGTAGGTGAGAGACACCACTTCCTGCCCCACTATCATGACACTGCACCTTTAACAACCCTGGTTACTCAGAGAGGTTATACGAATAATCACAAAACATGTTCACATGCACTGTGGTAACATATAGTACCTCTACCCCAGGAAGTCTAGTTTCCATAACTACACAGTCCCCAGTCTGAGTTAACACATCCATGTTTACTAATGAAAAGAGCAACGCCTGCATACTGACTCCAAACCTCAGAAGTCTCAGTACTAGTCAGATTTTTATCAGATTGATTTCATAGGAGCTTTACAACTGTTTTCAGGGGGAAGCTAACAGGTCACGATGTTGACTTCCTGATAACTCACCCAGAGGAGGGCAGAGAGGAGGGACTGATGCCAAAAGTGGTCTCCTGGTTGGAATCCCGGGTAAATATACTATTACTATAGTTTTGGGAGCAGGCCCAGGATGTGGATCTGCAGAAATGCTGATTTAAGCATGTAGTGTGTGTTAACACAACATACAAGATCTATAAAAATGCACAGTCTCTGCCTCACTTTAGGCTTCTCTGTTAGAAAAATGGATGTTTGGTTGCTGAGTTGTTTTGTCTATCCAGGGTTTCCTGTTGTACCAGAAAACTACGAGGAACTCTTACCTGGAGTGTAAGGACGGTCCTGCTCGGCCCCCCTCCAACATTGACCGCTTTGAGCGATGTTTATCCATCTTTAAACTGGCTAACGAGGAGACAGGCGGAACAACACAGCTCGAGACGCTAACGGAAAATGGTGTGCAAACATATGCATGTGAAAATCACAGTAAAGCCAAGGACACGTGGATGGAATGTGAAGACTCATGTCTGCAGACGGATCCTCAACCACAGTCACAGTCCTGTACTTGGGGTCAGATCCACAGTGCTGGACACAGGCTCTGTACGTCTGGTGAAGACAGAGGAGTGGAGGAGACAGAGCCTGCTGGACACAGACCGTGGAGAGCAGTGAGAGTGGACCTGGTGGTGTCTCCTGTCAGCCAGTTTGCCTTTGCTCTGCTGGGCTGGACAGGATCCAAGGTGACCTTTCACAGCTGACCTCTGTCTTTTTGGTGTTATTAACTGGAAAACAGCTGCTTTGAAAAGAGGTAGTGACTGATGTTTCTGCTGATCTGGTATGTTCCACAGTTGTTTGAGAGAGAGCTGCGTCGCTGGGCGGGATACGAGAAGGCCATGTCTCTCAGCAGCCATGCTCTGTATGACAATAAACAGGTAAATACATACAGTTTAGATGTTTTTTAATACGGGCTGTGGATAGTTGATTCACAGTGGTGCCCTGCCTGAGTTAACTAGTAGCTTATCTGTGGGAAGGGCAAATGTTCAGGCACAATCTGGATTTTAGAACATAATTAGCTTTGCAAAACAAAGGTGAGATATTATGGAAACATTTCCAGACTAATATTAGCAAAGTGGAGCACTGACACCAGCGGTTTCTTCCTCTCATACAGAGTCGATATCTGAGAGCTACATCAGAGGAGGAGATATTTGCTCATCTAGGTCTCGAGTACATTCCTCCGTCGGAGAGAAATGCCTGAAGAGACCTGGTGATAAGCTCCCGCACGAGGACCGAGCACATCCCATGTGAGGACAGGAGGGTGCACGGTGAAGGGTGAAAGCTAGAGAACTGTCCAGAAACCTGAGATGAGGCTTCTTGTGTCCTGGCTTTTATCCTGGATGGGATCATTGTCAGATTTTAACTGTAACAGAGAAACCAGCTCATTCAGAGCCGTGAACATGGTTCTGACATTAACTGAGTTTGTGATGGTGTGTGAAGTCCACCTACATCGCATCACTCATGCACAGCAGTAGGTCACGGTGCTTATCAGCCAGAGTTTCTCAAAAGGTTTAATGCTCCAGAAAACTCAGAGCAGTTGGTTTCCACCTGCAAGCTCATCAACTGACTCATTCAGCCAGCTGTACAATATGTGTAGTTGAAAATCTGAGAACATACTGTACATGCTACGATCTTACTGCTACCTCTATGAAACAAGTGCAGGTGACAGGGTTTTGTTTTTTTAAATTCGTTCCTGTGCTGATTATCCATCCATCCATCCATCCATTTTCCTCCGCTTATGCGGGACCGGGTCACGGGGGCTGTGCTGATTATATTTTGAAATAAAAGATGTGCAAGTTTATCCTTAAAAGATGAGTCTAGTGCTGTTCTGTGTTTTCTTATTGCCAGCAAATCCCATGAAAAGACCTCACATGAACCTCATGGTGTCAAGTCTCCAGCCAGGGAAGGACCATAATGCAGACACAGACAGAAGAACAGCATTTAGTAGAGTTTAATACAATAGATTCAAGACAAAGAGACGAGAAACAACTAAGGAGCTCTACCTGACAGAACAACACAGAGATATCTACCCAAGGCTACAACTAGACAGAACAGTCAGGGAGTAGAAGACACATGAAACTAAACCAACCAAAGGAGCGAACAGAAATTCAAGATGGCAAACAAATTCCAGATTAACATAGTCCAAGACGAGATAGAGTCCAGGAACTTACAAGTAACAAACAGAAGCAAGCAGACGAACCAGCAGCTAAGGGAGGAGACTATAAAGGCTAGAGACCAGGAGAGAACAAGCCACAGGTGAAGGCAATGAGTGGTAATCAAGAACCGACGTAAAGCTGAGGCAGGTGAGACGATACAAAACGGGAAAGCCTTACAAAATATAGGTACAACGCAGGAAGCAAGTCCCAAACCCTAACACATGGTGGTGCCAGCAGGAAAGTCAGCGGGCTCATCCTCTGGGGACAATGAATGTTGATGACCAACAAAATGGAGCCACACTGTTAGCATGTTAGCAGGATGAAAAAGCAAACAGTAGTTTGAAAATTAAATACTTCAGGATAAATTATACCTTTAATGTAAGATGCCAATATTGGATTATGTGTAAAATTATGTGTGTTGTCATTTACATGCTTGAAAGAATAAATCAAATCAAATCAAATCAAATATGATATTATGTTAATGCAGAGGAAACAACCAGGTGATGTAACGCTGCTGTTTAGCACGAGGTTGTATGGAAGTCACAGGAGCACTGCAAAACAGTTGGATCCAAGCAAACGACACACCTGGACATAAACTTTAGAACTTTATTCTTTTGTGCTTCTTTACAACATATGTCACTTCACCTTCACCATGGCATGACTTCCTCTACTGTGTGTTGACTGTGTCTTGTGTAAAAGGAAGTGCATTCACCCACATGCACACCTGCGTACCAGTGACCTGTATTCTGCAACGTTCCCAGTTCCTTGTCTGTACAGTTACTGAAAGAAAGCCACACAGCTGTGCAGAGTGTAGATGCCACGTGACATCTCAGTGACAGGAATGTCCAGAGTACGTCCACAGTAGGCTGGATTTAAAAGTGTGTTTCTCCCAAACAGCCTCCGGAGTGTGCACAAGTTAAAGCACCAGCTTGGTGTTTCAGCATGCACCAGGTAAACAGAGCTTCTCCAAAACAATCACATACAGTATTTCAGCTGTATCACAAGCCTTTGCTAGTGACCACAGAGAGCAGTGGGAGACTGAACAGAGACGTAACAGGGTTTGATTTTGTTAACAACTTAAGACCCAAAGAGATAAAATGACCCAAGAGATGAGTTGAGGGTTTGATTTTGTTAACAACTTAAGACCCAAAGAGATAAAATGACCCAATATTTAACACAAAAAGTAAAAAAAGAGAAAAGTGTAGAAATGTTTATAAACTGTGTATCAGCATTTAGTTTCTCATCTTTCTTCTCCCTACAATCAACTCACGACCCCTCAGATTCATCTGCTGACCCTCTGGAGGGGCTCGACCCCTAGTTTGGGAACCACTGGACAAAACTAAGTAAAAGGTTCAAACCAGCTCCTGCAATAAACTGCTGCAGAAGCTTTGATGCATCAGGTCTATCAGTCTAATAATGTCAGGAGACATTTTACTGCAAGTACTTTTTCTTCACTTCAAGAACATTTTGGCTGAAATATGTCTATACTTACTTTGAATGCAGGATTTCTACTTCCGTCTATTTTTACATTGTTATTGCTACTTAATTAAAGGATCAAAGTACTTTGTACAGTGGGGGGCGCTGGAGCTCACCTGCAAAATATCACAGAAAAAGACTAACACTGCCTGAAATGAGACACAAAACAACTATAGAGATGCAAAATGTCCCCAAAGAGACGCACAATAGATGCAAAGGAGACACAGCAGCCACAAGGAGATGCACAGTGGCCACAGAGGGATTCAAAGTTACTAGGCAAAGATGCACAATGACCACAAAGAGACACTAAACAACTGCCAGGAGATGCATCTTTAGAGACATGCTTTCTGCATGTCTGAGTGTCTTGCTTCTGTGTGTGAGGGTGGGGGTCTTTTACATGTCTGTCCCCGGGGCCCGTCCATGTCCCTGGGGTCCATCCATGTGAACTTTAAGTGAAATTACATTTCAACTTCTAGCTCTCCTCACGCTGGCCCAGACTCTCAGGCTCCTCGCTGCAGGCCCTCGTGTCTCCTCCTGCCTTGAGCTTTTGCTTCACACACATACAGTGTCAGTAACGGGGGGGTGTTGACAGCGATTTAGGAGCATAAAGTAAATCTGGTTTGGCTCCACTTACTGCAAGACACATGAGTACTGTGTCCTGTTTACATTTCATTTAACTCACCTGTCTGAAATTGGATTTCTTTTCTTTTAGCAGAGACGTGAGTTCATTGTATCAAGTGTGTGCAGGTCAGAGAGAGAGTGAGGAGGAGGAGGAGGAGGTGTGAGCTGTGACACGGCCTTTGATGTTAAGCCAGTATTTAGAGGCTAATGACGCG